ACCTGGGGGCCATAGTAGACCCCCTGGGAGCCGAGTCCACCAAAGCCTGCCACGTGGGGGTAGCCAGAGAGGAGGCTGCTGTTTGGAGTGGCTACCGGCCTGCTCAGGATGTCAGTGATCCCATGGGGCGTCCCAGCGGCCAGCTGGGGGCCAAGTCCCGGAGGGTTGAGTTTGTAGAAGGAGTTCTGCACGGAGTACTGGCACATGGGAGCCTTCATTTCCGAGAACTGGGCCAGCTGTGTGTTGTTCAGGAGGAACGTCCCCTGCAGGTTGGACTCCATGATCTCCAGGTCAGCGAGTAGGAGGGCCAGGAGCCCTTACAGCCCAAACGCCTCAAATGGTGGCCCAGACTCTTATGGCAGGTTTGGAGAATCAATGTCCCCCATTCCCCCCCAGCCTCTGACTGCCCTCTGCCTCGGCCCTTCCTCAGAGATGGGGCACGGAAGTCAGGTGTCCAGAGAAGGTGGGAGGCCTTCCGCTTTCCCCCTCCACCAGCTAGGTCTAAGGAGGCGGGCTCCCCATATTCAGAGCACCCGATTTCTCTGCCTCTGAGTCTGGGGGCCCTCCATCAGAAGTTTTAAGTTCAGAGAAGGGACAGTTCCTTGATAAAGATATGGCCCATTAGAATACAGACCTGAGACTGGCTGAGCTGCGAGCGCTGTGCCGCCATTGGTTGGAGCCCACATGGGCCTCACATTGGCTTCTCCTAGACAAATTGCACTTTGAAAGATTGACTGTAAATCATATAGGGGTGTGTGTGTGTGTGTGTGTGTGTGTGTGTGTGTGTGTGTGTGTGTGTGTTCGTGAGCGTGTGTGAAAGAATTAGCTCTAGTCGCCCTGTGCATGGTCAGAGGCTTCACTTGCTTATCCAAGTCCAGTGTCTAGGAAAAGGTTGGTGCCTGGAGGTAGGGACTGGAGGCTCCTGCCGAAGTCTTTATTTATTCCCTTGAGAGAGAGAAAGACTGGCTCAGAGGTCACCGTCCCAAGCTGCCCCTGTATGAATCCTCTTCCTCCTCCAGGACAGGTAAGTGGGGGCCCTGGAACAGGAGCTACTCTGGGGTAATGCAAATCTCTGGAACTTGAGGACCTGGGGCAGAAAACTTCTCACAGAATGGCTAGGGAAGTGGACCATGCAGCAGCTCCTAGAGTTGCAGGGGTGTGGGTGTGAGGGGGCATTTCACTGAGGCTGAAGAGAGGTGACTGTGTAAATGTTCCTGATTCTGCCAGTCTTTCTTGGTCTCTTCAATACTCGTCTGGCTGGTGTCCTGGGTGAAGTTTCTCATGTGAGAGGCCCTGTGCTCCTGAGACAGAGTCCTAAGCAGGGCTGTTGGGTTGAGGTTTGGGACTAAACTAAATACAAGACCACCGTGTGCTTTGTTCCTGATGAATATTTTGCAGTCTGCTGGTTCATGTGGGGACAACCTCTCCGTTGACAACAGTGAAACTGAGACACAGGGGTTGAGGGCTTGCCTCCCAGGTTATTCTCTCAGTTCGGCATTCTTTCCTGGTTACTCTCCCAAAGTATGAAGTGACAGGGACAAGGTGAGTGTCTCTCCAGATGAGCTCTCCCTGACTGCCCACTTGGGCTTTCCGGAAGTCACTCTCTTATTGTTTGGGGGTGGAGAGAGGGGGTCTATGTTTTCACAGGTGAGAGACAGGAGCCTTTTCTTTGTTAGCCTTCTTTGAGGCAGAGGGCAGAGGTGGGGAAGGCTGGCTGCCATGTAGCAGCATTTGCCTGTGATGTAAGCAACACTCTGGATGGCATGTGTGATTTGGGTGAAGAAATTGAAAGGATTTACAAAAGGGGAGATGATCTTTCTACAAGTTTTGATTAAGAAAAACATGAGGGAGGGTTCTTTAAAAAAACAACTTTGTGTTTTGTGTTTGTTTGTGTTTGTTTGTGTGTGTGTGTGTCCATCCTGGTCCACCCAAGGAGTCCAGAAAAGGATGAGTATCCCTTGGGGCTGGAGTTACAGACAGTTTGTGAGCCCTTCGACATGGGTGCTAGGAACCAAAGACAGGTTTTTCGGCACCATCTCTTCAGCCTGAGAAAAAGTGTTGTTGTTTTTTTTTATGCTTGGGTTGTTTTTTATCATCATAAAAAGCAAGACTTTATGTTGGGGAATTGATTTTTAATTTATGACAAGTTTTACTTTCAAAACCAAACCCACAGAACAACACATTGTCCTTTACCCTTGAAGCCGGGCACACTAGGAATGTTCTTATTCTTTGTGGAGTTCCTTCTTACAGGGTCAGGAATGGGGGGCTTTGCCCGTTGGGGTGATTTCAACCACTGAATCATCAGCAGGAACATGTGCTAGTTCTTTTCTTTAATCATCTCTTTGCAGTGTGCCTTCTACTGATTTAGCTCTCAACAACTCTTTGTGACATTCTTTCTCCAGTTTCTCTTAACTTTTGGCTAATTTCCACTCTCATCTGAGCATCTTTGTTCATCTTGCTGACCACACTCCCCCGCTGCCTGGACCTAAACCATCGGGAAAAAGTTCTTAATGGTTTTAATGTTATGTTTGCTACCAGGCCATGTGCCAGCTATTCAGTTCCCAGACAAGCCACCCAACCAAGGCAACTGTGGCTCTGAAAGTGTTTCAAAAACCCTCTGGGAAATGCAAATGCCGGGCAGGGGAGGTGTTGGTGGGCTTTCAGTGCCTGACTGAGAGTTTGGGCTCCAGGCTGAGGTGCACCAGGGATGGGGGACAAAAATTTGGTCACTCCAGAATAATGAGAAGTTAGGATGGACATTTGCTGCAAATGACTTGACTCTTATTTAATGCTGGAGCTGATAAGGGTGTGTTGTCAGGTAACCTCAAGTAACAAAGGCAAGAGACCTTAGACACTGTTTATCCTCCATGTGACAAAGGAGGGAACACCACCAGTTGGAGACTAGTTCGGAACAGGGATCACTTCCTCTCTCTAGTGAGGGAAGAATATGGCAGCTCCCCTTGGTGAATGTCACCTGCCTGCCTGGACAGACTCTCCGGTTGATAGTGCTGCCCCCACCTCTTCTTATCTCCTGATAGCCGGGTTGTCAGCTCTTTCTGGGTGCTTCTAGGGAGGGTGATACTGATGAAGGGGCTTTCCAGAAACTGGACGTTGGTGGACTCCTTTTAGAGGCAGAGGTGGCTCCTGATGCCCTCCCAACAGACCCCATCACACTCCAAACCAGGCTACACCCCTGCCCAGCACCTCAAGCCCTCAAAGATGAGCCAAGAAGGATAGAGACCTGTGCCATGAGTCAGTTTCTTTATTAATTTGACATTTGTTTAGCTGGTGTAGGGAGAATGGTCTATACATCAGATAGGGAGGGGTGGTCTCTCTCAGTAACAGAGCATGTGAGAGAGCCAAGACATAGTTCATTTTTTTCATAACAATTAAAAAACTCAAGGTCATTTCAAAACTTCTAAAAAGCGTCTAAGGTGCAGACTGCAGCATTCTCTAGGCATCAAGTGGAGACCCCAAACTCCTCCTAAACAGCTCCTACTA